TCTATCTTATAGCTGTTTCCTTTTTTGCATACGAGTCGATCTGTGTTTAACTCAGTTATAAATACGACACTTAGGCGGTGGATAAATTCACCGGGAATACGTGAGTCACTAATCACCCTGAAAATCATTCAGCTATAAACAAAGATGTTTAAATTTATTTCATTTCATTGCCTTCTTAGGGGAATCCAGAACTTCCAGTTTGAGCTTTGAAATTCAAGTAACGGTGATATTATTTCTACCATGTGAAGTCGATAGTCTCACAACCAACCTACCAGTTTCAAAGGGGTTTAATACTGGTTGAGTGAAATTTTGTGAGTCAATCAGCTGGGAATCGAACTCGGGACACGTGTGTGATTTGCGTGTAGTTAAGTCTTACATTCATTATTTTGAACTAGTCATGCAATTTCAGCTTTCAAATACAAAGTCGTGTTCAGAATTTAAAAAAGGTGGCGAAGTGAGATATAGTGCACTGCGTTAAATCACTAAAGTATTGATTAATTTGATTGGAAGCTTCGGAGTTGCTATTATGATATGTCTGGCCCTAGATGCCGGTGAACATCGAATTCTTTGTGCAAAACTAGAAATGTGGTCACTATGCTAGGTGGGTGATGTGTAAGTAAGAAACCCAGGTCAAGGAATTCGCGTCGATTGCCGCCAACCATCTAACGACAGAGTGTTAGCTTTTTTCAATTCAATGTGTTTTACACACTTATGCATAGAAGTAACTTTTATTTGTGTGATAACATGTTAAAAATATTCAAAGGTAAGTATATTTTCTTACCCATGGTGCCGCAGAGATGGTAACCTGAAAAAAAAGTATTGCATCACAAAGTAAGAATTACTAACAACTGGTATTCACATTGATGATTTGAATCAGCTTGTAGTCAGAAGTGTTAGGAAGTAAATAGACAAAAATTTGTCCTTCACACTGACTAGCTTTCAAGGAATGATTCAGTTTTGACTTTGAAACAAAAGGATGAAAAATTCACAATGACGGTCATTCAAACTATTCACTACTAATTTGCGCCAATCCCATTGAACTGAAACTAATTTCCATCCATCTGTTAGTCCGCGTAAAGGAGTAAAATTTATAACTTTTCATGTTGGGATATGTAGAAAGTATGATAATATATTGAAATAATAAGTGATGTATTTCGGAGAGAATGTTAACACGATTTAATATATGATATTTCTTATCCATCCAGAAACTTAAAGAAAAATAGTAGACCATGGTACATCATGTGACGTAATGCTGTTTGGTCTGAAGCAGAAACCAATCCCTTGTGATATTCTCATTTGTCTCCGAGAAGTGCACAGAAGTAGCGACTAGTATTAACCGACATTTCGCTAAGTTACTCAAATGTATAAGAACAAATATGTTCAAATTCTGGTTTGCTAATAATCCTATGTCTCTCTAATTACTGAGCAACGTGTCACTTACAGTCAATCAAGTTAAGCTGAAAGCTAGTTTAAAATGTGGATGAGTACATTTCGCCATCCAAGGACATATTTCCATGCTTACAACAGTAAGAATTAGGGAATATACGACGCCTTATGTTCAGTACAAAGTCAGGCAGTTCAGTGATTCAAACAGATGACTGATCAAGCTTCGTCAGGACAAATGTATTATAATTATTGTTTCCTTTAATTCCGAGAGGAACATAGGACTTCAGCCACATCTCTCCATTGCCTTCGGGTTCCCGCCAACGTTTTCACCTGGCTATACATCCGCTTACATGCTATTAACTTCTCTTCACATGACCCCCTCCATGTCACCCCACCCTCGAATTGATGACCAACTTGCAGCTTCCTTTTCTGGCTGGTCATATGATCTTGAGTAGTATTGAGCAAAGACAGCTGTTCACGAATGTCTGTAGTTTTTACAAAGTGCCCTTCGTGACGTGTAGTGCAAGTCTCTGATCAGTACAGTAAGTAACGCTGACTTCACATTGTAGTTGAAAATCCGGATTTTATTTTCATTTTCATGATGAGTGCTGTTGATTTCTACATGGACTTGAGAGAAATGAAAGCTTACCTTGCTTTTCTAATCCTTGCTTTGATATCCTCATCAATACTGTCGGCCAGTAGTTGAAATGATGCTTTGCAGGTAGGTGGGTAGGTAAAGGAGGTTGCCTATTTTCAGATTCATCCCATTAATGCTGATTGTTGTCTGTTGCTGTTGGCCAGGAATCTTCATCACCTCTACCTTCTCTATGTGTTCACCTGAAGTCCTATCTTCTCTGGATGCTTCTTGTGCCAACTTGTTGCTTTACACTTGCATCTTTTTCAGTCTGTGGGAAGTCAGAGTTATATATATCATCGGTGAAGTCCAGATCTTTCAAGTTTTTTTTGTGTGGATCTATTTTATGCCTGTTGCCTTGCTGCCCGCCACTGTCTGTCGCATTATCCAGCCAACCGGAATCAGGAAAATCATTGGAGATAATAGACAGCCAGCCTTATCATTCTCCCAACTTCACTTCGAAGGATTCTGTGAATTTCACGTTGTGGATAACTTTCTAGAGCAGATAAATACACGTTAAATGAGATGATCCAATGTATATCGTGGAAGTGATCTAATCAACTGATGTATTAGAAATTCCTTGAACTTCCAAAGTTTATAAATTTACAAAATTAATTTCAGATCCCAAAGGGATAAAGAACTAAAAGCTTTAATGGTTGTTCATCGCAGGTACCTAATTATAGTCCATGATCCCAGCCAGATCATATATAGTGATCTGAATATATTAATTTGCCAGAAGAAATCATTGAGAATTTCTACCTTGAGATGTGTTGTTTACAAATGATAAATTTGAATTTAAAAGATGCTTGAAAAACAGAAGGCTTCAATTTTGACGAAATTTACTGGGAAGTGAATAAAAGCCAAATGTGGAAGAGAGAGAAATTATTACTTCTCATAGCTATGTGCCTAAATGACCAAAAATCTAAATGTATTTCAGTGGAAAGTGAAATGATTTTGATGAGAACCGTTCGTGCGTTATTAAAATTTTTCGGAAGTTAACATTAGGCTGAATACTTTATTGTGTATAATTTACTGAATAACCATACTATCTTTATAAATTCCGACAAAAGTCAATCTCTGTGATATCCTTTTTATAATGTAGATTTGTTTAGTTAACTCCAAAGTGTACACATTTTCTGATAAAAGAAGTTACCTGACCAAAAGTGACCCTTGTAAAATCAATCCAACTTTAGTTACGCATAAATAATAACTTTATATTAACTCACAATTATGTAGAAGTTCTGCCTTATCTAAATGGTTTAAAAATATATTCATTGAATACCGCCAAATTTATTCATTACACAGGTGATAGAATGATGTGTAAACAGAGTGTAATATCTGCGGCCTTCAAACAATAGTCAGATAACGGTCTAATGATGAATACTTATGGTACTAGGTAGTGTTATTCAAATTCGCCTCGACGAAGCTGCTTAATCAACCTGTCTCCAGTTAAGCAGGCGATGGCGATTATAGGGAATGATTAGATAGTGAACGCCGTTACCCTACATAACTCATAATCTTGGTTTATTTCACCACTTTTATCCATAAATTTGAATGAACCTGTAAGACTTCATGTTTGCTCAACTTTAAGCTTTCAGAATGTTTGTCCAAGTTTCTCTTAAGAACATTTCCACAATAAGTTGCATTTTCTCCAGTAATAATACCGCTACTACTACTACTACTACTACTACTACTACTACTACTACTACTACTACTACTACTACTACTACTACTAATACTACTACTACTACTACTACTACTACTACTACTACTACTACTACTACTACTACTACTACTACTACTACTACTACTACTACTACTACTACTACTACTACTACTACTACTACTACTACTACTACTACTACTACTACTACTACTACTACTACTACTACTACTACTACTACTACTACTACTACTACTACTACTACTACTACTACTACTACTACTACTACTACTACTACTACTACTACTACTACTACTACTACTACTACTACTACTACTACTACTACTACTACTACTACTACTACTACTACTACTACTACTACTACTACTACTACTACTACTACTACTACTACTACTACTACTACTACTACTACTACTACTACTACTACTACTACTACTACTACTACTACTACTACTACTACTACTACTACTACTACTACTACTACTACTACTACTACTACTACTACTACTACTACTACTACTACTACTACTACTACTACTACTACTACTACTACTACTACTACTACTACTACTACTACTACTACTACTACTACTACTACTACTACTACTACTACTACTACTACTACTACTACTACTACTACTACTACTACTACTACTACTACTACTACTACTACTACTACTACTACTACTACTACTACTACTACTACTACTACTACTACTACTACTACTACTACTACTACTACTACTACTACTACTACTACTACTACTACTACTACTACTACTACTACTACTACTACTACTACTACTACTACTACTACTACTACTACTACTACTACTACTACTACTACTACTACTACTACTACTACTACTACTACTACTACTACTACTACTACTACTACTACTACTACTACTACTACTACTACTACTACTACTACTACTACTACTACTACTACTACTACTACTACTACTACTACTACTACTACTACTACTACTACTACTACTACTACTACTACTACTACTACTACTACTACTACTACTACTACTACTACTACTACTACTACTACTACTACTACTACTACTACTACTACTACTACTACTACTACTACTACTACTACTACTACTACTACTACTACTACTACTACTACTACTACTACTACTACTACTACTACTACTACTACTACTACTACTACTACTACTACTACTACTACTACTACTACTACTACTACTACTACTACTACTACTACTACTACTACTACTACTACTACTACTACTACTACTACTACTACTACTACTACTACTACTACTACTACTACTACTACTACTACTACTACTACTACTACTACTACTACTACTACTACTACTACTACTACTACTACTACTACTACTACTACTACTACTACTACTACTACTACTACTACTACTACTACTACTACTACTACTACTACTACTACTACTACTACTACTACTACTACTACTACTACTACTACTACTACTACTACTACTACTACTACTACTACTACTACTACTACTACTACTACTACTACTACTACTACTACTACTACTACTACTACTACTACTACTACTACTACTACTACTACTACTACTACTACTACTACTACTACTACTACTACTACTACTACTACTACTACTACTACTACTACTACTACTACTACTACTACTACTACTACTACTACTACTACTACTACTACTACTACTACTACTACTACTACTACTACTACTACTACTACTACTACTACTACTACTACTACTACTACTACTACTACTACTACTACTACTACTACTACTACTACTACTACTACTACTACTACTACTACTACTACTACTACTACTACTACTACTACTACTACTACTACTACTACTACTACTACTACTACTACTACTACTACTACTACTACTACTACTACTACTACTACTACTACTACTACTACTACTACTACTACTACTACTACTACTACTACTACTACTACTACTACTACTACTACTACTACTACTACTACTACTACTACTACTACTACTACTACTACTACTACTACTACTACTACTACTACTACTACTACTACTACTACTACTACTACTACTACTACTACTACTACTACTACTACTACTACTACTACTACTACTACTACTACTACTACTACTACTACTACTACTACTACTACTACTACTACTACTACTACTACTACTACTACTACTACTACTACTACTACTACTACTACTACTACTACTACTACTACTACTACTACTACTACTACTACTACTACTACTACTACTACTACTACTACTACTACTACTACTACTACTACTACTACTACTACTACTACTACTACTACTACTACTACTACTACTACTACTACTACTACTACTACTACTACTACTACTACTACTACTACTACTACTACTACTACTACTACTACTACTACTACTACTACTACTACTACTACTACTACTACTACTACTACTACTACTACTACTACTACTACTACTACTACTACTACTACTACTACTACTACTACTACTACTACTACTACTACTACTACTACTACTACTACTACTACTACTACTACTACTACTACTACTACTACTACTACTACTACTACTACTACTACTACTACTACTACTACTACTACTACTACTACTACTACTACTACTACTACTACTACTACTACTACTACTACTACTACTACTACGAATAAACATTAGCACTGCACTTACTTTTACCGCAAACAGTTACATCTAGTAAACAGAAATGGGATACTTTATTAAGAACATTTAGGCGGGGTGGGGGGACTTGAAGTTATTTCTGCTTTCATTAAGTGTCTTATGTTTGGAATAATTTTTTAATTGTGACTTTAATTACTACTTAATGTTCGGCCATCAGTAGAATCAACATGAATCAGCATAAATACTCAAAGATTTCAGTAGATTCAAGATTATTCGTAGAAATCCATGACTACGGAATAACTATTTTGTGTCGTGCGTCTGACTTCACAAAGTTTTCTGACTAAGATTATTCGTTCGTCAACTAGTAGCACTATTATTCAACATTATCGAGAAAATTTGTTCTTACAGGCAGTGTGGAAGATCACATTCGTCACAATTCATCGTGGGAATTCCGAGAAGTTCACTTGTGCGTCAGTCGCTCATTGGAAGTGGATTCATTTTCAAATGCTATTTCGAATATTACGCTTGAAATGACAGACTGCAATCATGATCATCCAGTATATGTGTGGTGAGAGCAGCCTGCTAGCCAATTGGTTGACATTAATCTACGTCAATGTCTAGGTCACTAATATGAGCCGTGAGAAAATATGAACAAGGCTGTTTCAACAACCAATCGCAGCAAACTTAGACGTGGGCAAATATGATTCGCAGATAGATGGCTCTAGTTTCCGAGGGACTCGAAAACAACCAATCAGAAGACTGCGTTTGTCTACTTGACTAGGCTATAATAATGTATCTGGAATTTACATAAATACGTGTTGATTTTCGTAATAAAACGATCTGTTGCCTGGCCCTTGTCTTCTGTTGTTGCATATGTAGTGAATACTATTCGTTTTAGAATTTTTAACGTTTTGGTTCATACTACCTATTGTCTGTTTTGAATACTATTGATTCCATAAAGAAATATTTAGTACAGAAGAGAAGGAAGGCGTTAAATACTTCTTGAAAACATCATGCTTTGTAGCACAACGAATTTACACTTTTCTGAATTCCTGTTCAAACTCCCGCTCTCTAGTATGCGAAATCAAAACTAAAAACGTTAAAATTTATCATTCAAGTATGAAACAAGGAACTCCCTTTTTCCCTGCTCCCTTTAATCAACAAAATACTCATATGGTTCAACTACAGCCCTGTTATTCTCAAATTCATGACACCGTGAATTCTTGAGTTTGTGATAACCGGGATGATAGTGGTTACTGACATATTCAACCTCAAGCATGAAAACCGTATTCTTCTCATTTCGTGTTTTCGTCCTTATTTGGTCTTTATTTTCAAAGAAACTCAACGAGTAAATAAAGTATGTGTCGGAAACATATTCGTAAAAGGAACTGTTTTTAGACCGACACCAACAGTGACATCCAAGACAAGTGAACTATTTGCTCAAAAGTGTACAAAAAGTCTAAAGCAAAATGAGGATGGAATTAGGCTCACATGGCTAACTATGGCATACACTGACGACTGCCTCAAAACTGACTTACAGGCTTGATCTCTTGCAGCTGAAAATGAAATTATAGTTCATTTTACAATCTTAGATCAACAAGTCATATCTATGTTAATTAAGCAATGTAACATGTTGGTTTCCATGCAGCTTCACATAAACAGTTTGAATTATGCTTTAATAGACTATTTCTGTGTTTTATAGGTAAATATCTTCAAAAATAACAATAATAATAGTAGTAATAAAGACAGCTGTCTTCTGAAGGAAATATTTACACAGCGTAGTCAATTCTCAGCGGAATTTAATGCATAGTACTTTCTATTTGTCTAGAAATTTCAAGCGAAATAGCAATCTGTAGTATTGTAACGACAGAAGACAAGGGTCAGTCAACAGATCGTTTATTGAGGAAATCAAGAGATATTTATGTATTTTTATGTAAATCATTATTCGTTACTATTGGCAGAGAAACAGCGTCTTCTGATTGGCTGTTTTCTCGCTGAAAGTTACTCTGTCATCTCTTTGTGGCCGTTTCTTCGACGATCAGACCACATTTCTTCTAATCGTGTCCGCCCACGCAAAGTCTACTGTTATTGGCTATTGATTTAGTCTTTGTTCTTCTTTTTTTCTCACGACCAAGATTTGGGACGTGAACATTGACGTAAATTGCTGTCTACCGATTTCGGCTAGCAGACAGCTCTCACCACAGTATAATATATGAGGCATTGCCATTCAGTCCGAAGCATAGACTAGTCCCTTATGGCTTTATCCGTTGTATCACAGACATGCCTACTGGTGGTTTGGAAGACATTCTGCAATGTACTTGAGCATATCTTTGGAGTCGAGGATATTGCTTGATGGTTAGCAGAATAAGAATCAACAAGTATTTGATGTATTTTGTTGTATGAAAACTGAAGTGGCCAAGTGATTCTAGTAGACCGCTGTCAAATTCACAAATATCGATCCTTTATTATAGTACGCTTTGAAATTTAACGAGACACCTAGAATCACTAGTATTCTGTGCCTCATCACCTTTTGGTTTGTTACGGGTTAATGAGAGTTTTCCTGGTTCAACTGACTATATACATTCAGAGTAACTATCACCATCTATATGAAATCTTCAAGTGAATATCAAAATAGTACTAATGATATCAAGAGAAGACCTGAAAACTAATTACAACTAGTTTATCCCAAGGTTTGAAGTGGTGTGAATCCAATAGATAAAGAGTTCTTTCAAGGCTCAAAGCTGATTTGATATTATCTACCTGCAAGGTCAATATTGAAGCCATCTAACTTCTATTTATAAATTACTTGAATAAATTGTGGTGAAAGCTGGCTGCTAGCCAAAAGTGGCAGACAGTAATTTACGTCAATGTTTACGTCCACAATATTGGTCATTAGAGAAATAAGAGCAAAGACTGATTCAACAACCAATCACAGCAGACGTTGCGTAGGCAGATACAATTCGCAGATAGATAATCTGAACTTCAACAAACGACCAAAAAGAGATGAAAGATTAATGTTCAGGGAGAAACCACCAATCAGAAGACAGTGTTTGTTTGCTTAGAATATTCTATAATAATGTAGATGAAAATATATAAATATCTGTTGATTTCCTAAATAGGCGATCTGTTGCCTAGCCCTTGTCTTCTGCCGTTACCAAATGACACGTATCACAATTGTCTCTAATCTAAAATCATTTGTCTAGTTGTGTCTAGCGCCGTAGAATCCACATGCATGAATACCCTCTGTGTAAAGAAATCCAGTTGACGAGTTTCCAATAAAGCGAAAGGTTGCATGTTCTAAACTCTGTTGTTAACCGCCATCAGATACACATGCATCCCTGATAAACCACTCAACCTTTCAATATATATTCGTATTCATGTGAAGAACTGAATATCCCATTGACTACATAAAGAAACTCCACACAAGATAATGCACACAAATGATCATAAGAATAATTTGATTCACACTTTTTTGATATTTGTGTTGTCAGGCAACCTGCCAGTATTATCTATCACTCATCTTTTTTTTATAAAAGATCGCATTTTTTCTCAGAATAAGTCAGTTCAACTGAAAGCAAGACTCAGTTCATTTAGAATAAACCGATATAACAATACTGAGTCTATCATAGATAATTAGAAACAGACAAATATAGTTAGGAATCAAGATTTTACCTGTGATTATAATATTTGTACAACCACTGCTAAGAAAGTTACCAAACTTTTGACAATTGCTTGTGACCTGGAAGAATTTTTAATTGATTTCAAAGTGAATTAAATTTTATTTATTTGAATGAAATGAACGGTAGTCTATTTCATGTACCCGAAATATGTTATCTAATGCATCGATTCTTTCATGATCAGCACCCACATAGATCTCACTGATGTGATTATTACTTCGAATTCTGATACCATTTATTTGCAGGGATATTACACGGAAAATGATGATCAATATAAATGACCTTTGACAGGTCTTGAAAGCAACTGCCATCCTACATTTCTAGTAAAATATGAACGCTACTGAATGAAGGTGTTCACTCGGAAATATGAGTGAGCGTTATGCTTCCGTGAGTTAACTCTGGGAACATATACCACTGAGATAATCAAACAACAATTTCCGATAAATTCGATGTTTGGAGGCAGCGTGTACAAGCACAAGGATTTACACAAAGCAATATGGATTTCGCCTGACGAACACACCCCTAACCAGGCAGACTTCATCTCAATCACAAGGAGTGGAGACGCAGCCTGCTGGAGACAACGTCAAGAAGGGGAAGAGATGTAGGCTCAGACCGTCATCCAGTTGAAGGAACCTTCAAGGTAAAGCCAAAATACCTGAGGAAAATGGAGACAGGTTTGGAAGGAAGGAAATGTACTTACCGATTGGTAGAAAGGCTGGCTATCATGTCAGACTACTAAAGAAAGTTCACTTAGGCGTCGCTCAGCAAGAACTGGCGTGGAATAATACTCTTGTTCACGTCACTGTCTGGCGACTTGAACCTCCACACATTTGTGCAAAGTTCTATGTCGAAAACAGACAGCCGTCAAGTAAAATAATAGATTGCATCATCCTGGAGAGAAGAAAAGATGCACTGTATGCAGAACTACACCACCCACCAGAACAAGGGGATTCAGGTAAGACAAATCATGTGCCGGTCAAACTGCTACTCTACATATCGTCATTGAACAAAGCAGAGAGTGGTAGTGAAATCTCTACAACATCTTCATCGACTTCTAAAAGGCTTTCGACAGAGAGCGTTGACTGACAAGTAATGTGGAAACTGTTTCAATACTACGGTGTGCCTCAAATATTTACCAACCTCACTAAACAGCTAGCTATGTGACAGTGTCACGTGATTCACAACAGAAAACTCACTCAGCGAGGCGTTTGAAGTGAACACAGGAATTTGACAAGGTGACTGATTATTATCACCGATGATAATCCTTATTGTGGTGCACGACTGAATTATGCGTCAGATTATGCGTGGAAGTGAGAAGAGAGGAATACGCTGGACCATCGATAAAACGACTCTAAAAGATCTGGATTTCGCGCGTGGATGATGTATGTTTAATGTCACACAGAGTCGAAGACATGCAGGCGAAAACCAACAAACTGGTCGAAAAAGCAGCGAAGAGTGGACTGCTAGTGAACACAGTGAAGACAGAGGTGGTCAAGATAACCAACCAAACTACAGCAACAACAAGCAGCACCAGTCACTATCAACTGGAGGGGATTAGACTGAAGTTATCTCCTACCTTCATTTATCTGACCAGGAAGCATGATTTCAGCCACATCCAAACAGGACGGATGAAGATTTCTAAACCATCCATTGGGGATTGGGAAGGCAAGGTACGTCTTCATAAACCTGAAATCAGCTTGGAAGTCTTCAACACTCAGCCAAAAACATGAAGAACGAGATTCGGATTTTTAACACAAATGTAAAGTCAGTCAGTTCTTATAAATGAGTCAGAAACTTTCACTGTGTGTCACGAAAAGGAGTTCCAACAGGCCAGTGCAGACTTTTGCCAACAGCTGCCTTTGCTGGCTCTATACCACAGACAAAATATCCAGCCGGCCAGAAGGAATTCGCAACAAGTCACTCTGGCCGGCTGGGTACAAACCAACCAAGAGCCGATTGTCTGGAAAATATGTAGGAGAAAATGGAAATGGGTTGATCAGGGATACTTTGAGCCGGCCATCGAAAGACACTACACTCAACACAGGTCATTGCTCGAGTGGAATCTAAGTGGAAAGCGACTAATGGGTTGTTGGTGAGAGAGTGACATAGAGGAGATCTTGTGTCGAGGAGGAGATGAGATATTACAAGCAAACTTGGACCCAGCAGAAGAGGATGGCAGAAAATTGAAGAACGTGTAGGTGTTTTGTTGAAGTTCTATGATGTTTCACTCAGAACCCAAGGGAATTAAAAATACTAATAGTTCACTCTATCACTGTAAATCACACAGTGTGTAGACAAATATTATTTATAAGTTCTATCATGGGTGAGTACCAGTTAGATAACCATCAAAAATACCTGCGAGTATTGGATACATTTTTTGTCATAGTTCAGGATTCCTCACCACTACGCACCCACCAGGGTCTAAAGTGAGAAGTCGCAACCAGCGGGAGCCACCAAGTCAGATAAGAGAACAGTTACTGGCCTATGACACATACTCATATGTTGCTAACTAGAAGAAGTTGAGATTCATGAGCAGTTGCATTGTGTCCCAGCTGCTTGATCGTCTATGAGCTGTCCATGTAACAGAAAGTTCCACGGTTTGAACTCCAGTTGGTGTTTTCAATTGAAGAGTCCCAAACTGAGACGAAACAGCTGTCGTGTACTCACAAGTTTTCCTGTGGTTCTCTAACTGATGTGAATTCATCACCGAACATGTTACCCAATTTAAGTTCTCGTAAGCCTACAGTTGATGATAGTTATTTACTTTTATAATTGTAAAATGATACCATATCGAAAATAAACTGTTACATTTACGTACATTCTGCTGGACTCGTGTCTGAATGTGTGCAATAAAAAAGACAATTTCAGATTTGACTGTGAAAACACAAATTAAATTCAAGCTTATTGTAAGTGCAATATCGCTTGAAATTAAGTCACGCGTAGATAAAGGCTATCGCGGTCCAGAACAAACAAGAAGACGGTCACCGTTTCTACGGTACTATTAATAAACAAATCAAAATTACACATACAACAAACCTTAACGGTTTCAAGAGTACAAAGCACAACGCTTAACAGAAAGCAAGGTACCTCTATCAGAGCGGAATAACTTTAAAGCCAAAGTTGCAAACTAGCCGGAACCAGACACGACCGTTCAGGTAAGCAGTCAGTAGAAGAATGAACCCATGGCATAAAAAAACAGAAAGCGGTTAAGAGATAGATCGAGCATAGGCACAAAGATAGAATTCAATTGGCTACTTAACCAGGCAGGAAGATACAGATGAAGATCAATAAATGGGATAAACTCGACAGAATAGTACAAGGTAAGGCATGGGTCAGCAAAAAATAACAGTTCACAAAATACTCTGATTGGGCCATGAGTTCAACTGTCTGACTAATCGGATCGAGGTAAAAACACATACACACAGTTCATTAAACAAGGGGGGATAGACACGTTAGGCATGGATAATTTGGTTGCAACAACGCTAGGCTGATCCGGGACAGGTTGACTTGATTCAAGGATGGGAAATGAATTGATCTTACACATTCTAATGATTTTCATATATCACGATTCTCTCCGGGGATAATTATTCTGCATACTAGTGTGCAATCTTTAGAATGGAGTTATCAGCAAAAAAATGGGACACTGATCAAGGAATACTCAAATGTTATTATGTGTAATTAAGAATGCATCTTAGACCTTAGTAAGACGAAAGTTTCCGCATTATGATATTATTTCTAGCTAAAACGTTTTGTATCAATAAGCACTTTTGCATGATTCAAAGTCAAAGAACTTTTGTTTGTACTTCATTTCGATATATATATATATATATATATATATATATATATAGAAGCTGGGTGTTCTGAAGATAGGATGGAAGTAATTCTAGCGATATTTCCAAACGAGGCATATTGACGCCATGCGATTAAATTGAAATTCTCGATTTAAGTTAACTGTGCATCAGGGAAGTCAGTGGTAGCACTCAAAAACAGACACAACTTTTGCAATTAGCAGTGTTCTCCGAGCTAGTAGTTAGTTTAGTTGCAGAGCTTTCGTCGTCCACATTCTAGACAACCTCTTCAGCCAGTGCATGTTTTAGCATAAAATGAACTGATTCGAAGTCTGCATGAATGATAGAAATGAGTCTCCTAGCACCAACCATCTTCGTGACTGATAGTCGATCGATTTACATCTGTATTCATCATGTTTTATTGACTCGGATTTTGAACTTTCTCGTCACATGGTTTACTTCATATTAGATGGTAGATTTGATCTATGTTAATACGTTTTATTAATAGGTGATTCGCTTGATTATGAGACTTCTAGGAATTCTCTGACACTTTTGCTGTTTCCTTTATTTAGAATTTCTGGATTTTACCTATCAGATTAATGTCCATAATTATCTACATGCATTGATATCAAACAGGAATATATATCATGTCTTTTCACAGATGATTTGGGTTCCTGGATTCTGATTCGAAGGAAACGCCCACTTTCACCGATGTGATGTCTGTTACAGTTCATACGGGCAATTTATTTTGTAAATGGTATTAAATTTATCTTGCTTCTTTTTCAGTTGTGTGGACATTTCGGTTTGCACAATATCGAATGAGGTGATTGTGTTGGATGGCTGGCTGGTTGGCTTGTGTGCTATATCTATTTCAAATGGTTTCATTGTTCTAGCTGTTATTTCAGAGATATTTTTTATATATATGGTAGGATGAATTTTCATGTAGTCTTTGATGATGGTTTCTGGTTGGTGTTGTGATTCGATTTTAAACACGTTTTGATGAAATTTTGTGGAGGATATCCACTCTTTTTGAAGACAGTTAGTAGGTATTTTTCTTCCGTTCTTTTCATCACTGGAGTGCTACACTGTTGTGTTTGAACTCTTTCAAAACATACCTGAATACAGTTTCTTTTGTGGGTAATTGGGTTATTACTAATATAGTTGAATATTCGATCTACATGCGTTGATTTTCTATGTACTTGTGTCTCTAAATTTCCTGTGTCAGCTACTCTGATTTTGTTATCTAATTCTTGTTCTCTTCTGAATTTGATGCCTTCAGGTATATTGTTGATTTATGGGTATATTCCAAATGATTTCTTTTAATTGTCACAAATGTATCATCAACGTAGCGTTCCCAGAGTTTTGGTCTAATTATAGGTAGGAATAGCTATTAAGTCTGACCTTTGCATGATGACTTTAGCTATTAATCCTGATATGGGCGATCCCAATAATGTTCCTTTTATCTGTACGTATATTTGAGTATTGAATTGAAAGTATATTGTAAGACATAATTCGTTGATTCCCATCATCCAAGTTGAACATTGAGTTTTTATGTTTTAGTCCGAATAGACACGATTCCTTATTATCAAAAGGGAGACAGGTAGTCGGAAAGACGGCTACTCTGTCATTGTGAAATGACATACAAGTGTAACTATTGTGACATCTTTCAGTCTGTTTAGTGGTGGGGACAATCAGCGCTGGAAGCCGCCAATCTGGAATTTGATTTTGTCTCTTACTGAGATGCTTTTTAGTGAGGTAAAAGAGGTGAAATCACAAATAGCCTATTATTATTATTGTATCCTTTAGTTCCTAGAGGAACATAGGGCTTCAGCTGCGCACCTCCATTGACTTAGGTTTTCTGACAACTTTTTCACCCTGCTCCAGGTCTGTCCACATGCTTTCATCTCCTCCTCGCATGACCTCCTCCAAGTCACCCTCACCCTGGAACTGACGACCAACTCGCCGCCTCTCTCTCGGGTTCCACTCGAGCAGTGGCTTGTCTAGTGATGTCACTTGATGGTTTCCTCAGCGTATGGCCAATCCATCTCCATTTCTTTCTGCCTATTTGTTTCACAATCGGTTCCTGCTAGGTTGGTTCGCTCATTGCCAGAGATCCCTGTTGCTGATCTTTTCTGGCCATCTGATCTTGAGTATTGAGCGGAGACAGTTGTTAATGAAGGTTTGAAGTTTGTTTGAGATGCTCTTTATGACTCGCCAAGAATCTGATCCGTATAGTAGCACTGACTTCACATTGGAGTTGAAAATCCGGATCTTATTTTTGATGCTGATTGCTGTTGACCTCCACACAGATTTGAGAGTAATGAAAGCTTGTCTTGCTTTTCCGATTCTGGCTTTGATGTCCTCGTCAGTTCCGCCTGTAGTTGAGACGATGCTTCCCAGGTAGGTAGGTGAAGGAGGTTGTTTCTTTCAGGTTCTTCCCATTTATTCAGGCTGGTTGTTGTCTGTTGTTGTTGTTGATGTTGGCTAGGAATCTTCATCATCTCTGTTTTATCTATGTTCACGTGAAGTCCTATCTTTGATGCTTCTTCTGCCAACTTGTTACTTTTCACTTGCATATCTTCCAGTTTATGGGAAATCAGACATATATCATCGGCGAAATCCAGATCCTCCAAGTCTTTTGTGTCAGTTTATTTTATGCCTGTTCCCTCGTTGGTTGCCGTTGTCTGTCAGTCGCATTATCCAATCAATTGCAATCAGGAAGATCATTGGTGATAGTAGACAGCCTTGCCTCACTCCCGTCCTCACTTCGAAGGCTTCCGTAAGTTTCCCGTTGTGGATTACTTGGCATGCAGCATTGTCGTATGAGTGATTTTCATGCGAAAGGATTATCAAAGAGTTGGAACGATTTCATCATCAGGCAGGCATCATAATTTTATTATTCAATACGAACTCACTATGGCATGTTTTCTCGCCTGAAGACATTACACAAATTTTGAATTCATTTCTAGAAATCAGGAAATTCTCTTTCATAGGATTGTGTCTACGTATTGCAGTATGCAGTGAAAGTTTACAATGTCTGAATACTTTTCAATACTCAGTAAAATATGCTTCTCGACTTACATCTGTTATATGTTCCCAAAATCGATGCTGTGATAAACAGATGAATATCATAAATCAATTCTGAGTGCATGAGTTTTAGTCATTGCTTGACTTCTTAAATCTACTCCTTCCTTCATCCTCAAAAAAAACTGTTAAAATATAAAATAGAGCATATTCATACGCCATGGATGAAACACTTTTACCGGAACAGGCTGAAATCAGGAGAAACAAGTCATGCATTGATCGAATTGCAAGACTACAGATCATCATTGAACAGAGCTTGGAATAGCATTAAAGTAGCTCTCTAACTGAACTTCATAGACTTTGAAAAGGCTTTCGACAGTGTCGACTAAGAGGTGATTTGACGACAACTTAACTACTGTAAAGTGCTGCGAACAATTATACACCTCATCCAACAGTTGTACTACAGTGCTGCATGCCAAGTAATCCACAACATGAAAATCATGGAATCCTTAGAAGTGAAGATGGGAGTAAGACAAGCTGGCTGCATACTATCTACAATGATTTTCCTGATTACGGTAGACTGGATAGTGGGACAGACAGTGGGTAACGAGGAGACAGGCATAAAATGGACTCACACGAAAACCTTGGAGACCTGAACTCCGCCGAAGATATATGTCTGGTCTCTATCAATGTGGAAGATGTGCAAGTGAAAAGAAAAAAGTTGGCAGAAAAAGCATCCACAGAAGATAGAGCTTCAGATGAACTACGAGAAAACAGGTGTAGTGATGAAGATTCCTGGCTAACAGCAACAAAAATAGACAACAATCAGCATAAATGGGAGAAATCTGAAAGAAGCGACCTTCTCTACGACGACAGCTTAATTTTTAATGGCCACCTGACCGATTTCCGTGTATGATAACGTCTATTGTCGAATTGCATATGAGAATGTAAATCTTATAGGCATATAGACATTAACAAGCCTACAGAAGACTAATAACAACTAAATTTTGAAAGTCTGCCTTCAAATCATTTGTGAAGCAATGGAATTTCAGCTGAATACGAAAACCAACGCTACATCACCATCAATATGCATCACAACTTCACAATAGCATAAGTTTAAAACAGACGAGTTTTCTAAGTAGTATGTGTTTCGCAAGTGAATTTCCAACTTGTAACTGCATAAAATATCTAAAATAACTAGTTTATGAATAATATTCATGAAGCAAATAACAATCCGACTTCACTTAACTTCAGATTGAAATAACTGAGGAGGTTTGGAAGCTCTGCCGATTATTTCAGCTAGTTGATTTAATTGTGAAGCTTTCATCGTCATCCACATTCTAGACAACATCGCTTCAGCCACCTCAGATTTTAGTATAAAATGAACTGATTTAAATTTTCCATGAGTGATAGAACTGCGTGACTGATAGTCGGTTGATTTACATCTGTATCGATCATGTTTTATTGACTTGGAATTTGAAATTTCCCGTCACATGTGATTTACTTTTTATTAGTTGGTAGATTTGGTCTATATTAACATGTTTGTTAATCGCTGGCTGATTCACTTGGATGCCAGGCTCCTAGAAATTCTCAGGTACTTTAGGTGTTTTCTTTATTTATAATTTCTGCATTTTACCTATCAGATTAATGTCCATAATTATCTACATGCATTGATATCAAACAGGAACATAGATCATGTCTTTTTACAACCAATTTGTGTTCTATGACTCGGATTCGAAGGGGAAGCCCACTTTGACCGATGAAATGTCTGTCAGAGTTCATGCTATTTATTTTGTAAATAATACGTATTTTGTCTTCTTTTTCTGTTGCGTGGATTTTTCGGTTTGCAGAATATCGAATGAAGTGATTGTGTTGGCTGGCTGGCTGGCTGAATGGTTGGCTTGTGTGCTATATCTATTTTGAAACAGTCTATTGATATTCTAGCTGTTATTTCAGAGATACTTCTTTCTGTATGTGATAGGATGAATTTTCTTGTAGTCTTTGATGATGGTTTCTTGTCGGTTGTTGTGACTCGACTTTTAACAAATCAATATAGATCAAATTTACCAAGTAATAAAACGTCAGTCAGGTGACAATAAAATTCACAATCCAAGTCAATAAAAAAATGATCAATACAGACTGAAATCGACTACCAGTCATGAAGATCGTTACCAAGATACACAATTATATTATTCATGAAGAATTCAAATGAGTTCATTTTACACTAAAACTTGAACTAAAGATGTTGTCTAGAATGTGGACGTTGAAAGCTCAACAATTAAGCCGACCAGCTCAGAGAACACAATTAATTTTAAATTGCTGTAAAGTACTTCAAATTATGACGTAATGAATGTTTTCACAATTTTCGACCTTATCTTGTATGGTTATTCTACATTTTATAGCCTTCATATATATGTGTATATATCATTCAAATACTTAGACTTACCTCCCCAGAAGCAACCCTCTTCACCTGAAATGTAAGCAACAAATGTCTCAACATCTTTATGACAACTGCAGCTAAGTCGGGCAGTATAACATTCAGTAAGACGCAGTAAAATTTTCGATATCCGCGTATTTTTTAAATTATCGGGTTTGACATTAAAACTAAAAAAAGAGAATACAAAACTGATCTTGTATAAAGACACTGTGAACTCTGAATTTTCAAAACCTCATTCTTTACTTTGAAGTAGTTTGACCAACAATAATTCGTTGGTTGTTCGTTTAGTGGTAGAATTCTGGCAGCGTACCTGTTCAGGATTTGACCCTAGATCAGCGACATATTCTTAAAAATCGAATAGCTTTCGTTACATGTGAAGATGACGGAAATTCAGGTGTGAGTGAGCCTATCCACCTCAGTTGGTTAAAAAAACACTACCGGTGCTAAAACTTCAAAGCTTGAAGCCGTATGTTTCAGTAGAAACACACTTGAAACAGAACAAACATGAATGCAAGCTACACTTTTAGTATGATATAGAGCTGAGTAATGTACAAACGTGATTCTTATGAAAATTTTTGATTCCTTACCGCCTATGAACTCATAGATATTTATCGACATGCTTTTGCAAAAAGATAACGCCACAAATTTAGTCTAAATTATTGCTTCACTTGAATTTCTTAGACGAAAACACTTCTAAGTCGAACAATAGTTAAATAAGGCAATTTCTATATGTGCAGTTTTAAGTAGAGTCTTACAGTATTCCTATCGTGCTTCTGCATCTGCATAATAAAGTGAAAGAGAAAGATAAGGCGATAATTATCTCTGTGACTACCGAAACAGGAAACTCTCCTTTCTTGATACACAAAGGCATCGTGGAATGAATTGGAAATGTATGCATAAAACCGTCTTATACAAAAGGTCTAAGTACTTCAAGTCATTTCTGTTCAAAGTAATTTGATGTCACGTTCTTTATATTGGAGCTCCACTGTGAATTATCCGTGGTCTACTAAAATATCAGCTGGTTAGAAAGAATCTTACTTAACCCTCCAATTTGAGAGTATCCTTTTTCTCGTGCTCGTTTTTTTGTTTAGTCTGACATGATGGAAGAGGAGATCTTATGTGAAATTCATACTTCATTTTCATTGCGACTGCAAATAATGGGGAAAATTGGCTACAGGATTTCATCATGAGCTGACATTGGTTAAAGAACCATTTAAAAAACCTACAGGGAGTACTGAACGGCTGTTTCGCCCTAGTCTTGGACTCTTCAGCAGTATTTGGAAAATGAGGATCTCTGTCTACATTATTGCTGAGGAGTAAATAATTATTTTATTTTTTGCTGTTCTCATAGTTTTATTTCGTTAAATTATTTCGTATTCCTCTATAATTAGATCTATTGCGCTGGAATGCTCCAACTCTGTCTAATGTTGTATTGACTCTTAGTATGATGCACTATTGGACGACCTCTGATGGCTAATATGATATCAGTTGGCGGATTAATTAATAGCGCTTTATTGCTGGGAACAATAAATGTTGGGTTCAAGTGTCACTGGAAAGATCATCATTCACTAGCTGAGGTACACGTGCATCTAGGTGACAACTCCCGTATAGGCAGAAATTTTCGCCCTGAATTATTATTGTTGATACAAGTATACTATCTATAACAAGTGGCTTCAAAGGGGGAAAAGCATTCCTTCAACAGGTTATAGCTATCAGTGTATTCCTACTCTAAGTTCATCGAGTGAATCTCAGCAAATGACGGTGGTGCCAATCACATTCAGCCACTTTGAGGACCGAGTTTATCAACATGTTTGCATCAAGGAATTCAGACCTATCGCCCCATAAAGTATTTCTGTGATTTCACTAAATGCGTCAATAGACACTGAGTAGCGCTACTCAATTTAAGTTCTTAAATGAATCCATGTCATTTAAACGCGTTCATTTAATTTCTTCCTATTGATAAACAACCCTCATCCTCTTAATTCGCTGTGCAGAAATTTTAAACAAAATTAAAAATTTATGCTCACTAACTTGATGTACATAATCCGCCACCTGAAATAAAAAGAAATCGGAATTCGGAGAGTAATAAACAAGCCAGTAGTCAAGTAAATCACGGGAATAAAGAATAATCCCACATGAATAGCAGAGTATTTCACTAATGGAAGGAACTTTGGTCCATTCTACTTTTCAAATCTAAATTGTTGGAATATATTCGCAGCTCATGGTAGTCAGACGGTATAAATGCATTCAGTCAAAGAACCTAAAGATGCGTTACAAACTGGCGAATTATATCTGCTACATACGTGAACAAATGTCGGTCTGTTTGTTAGTTGACTGTTTGTTGTCTAGCATATCGTTTAACTGTTTCAACCAAAACATATACTTACAGAATCCTGAAGAACAATTGTCTGTAATGAAGGTGAATAGCTAGTTATCAACCTTTTGAGAGAAACATTCGATGAATTAACACAGAATCATTCAATAACATGAAATACCTCTTTGTTATGAAAAAAATAAAAATCCTTGAATGATGTTGTTCTACGATAAGAACTAATATTCTTCTGACGAAGTATATTCCATGCTCAGTATCTCCATTCAGCTTTTGGTAGGGCATAAGTAAATAAATTACGTGGTCAGCATTTTCTCTCAAAATAATACAGTTCATCTGTTCCACAAAAAGCGTTTTATTCCCTCTTTTCAAATTCATTTTTTCGATCGATATTTTAGAACCTCTTCAGATTTTTTGTTCAAGTAAGTGCTGCAGTACGACAAAGTGAAGCGAAATGTGCATTTTGTTGTTTTCAATTCATCGATTGACTTACTTGTTTTCAGGCATATGTCTACACCTGTATTCACCAATAGAATAACCATCAACATAGATCAGTATTTTAAGAGCGTCGGGGATTAAATAACACTGGGAACTAAGCATGAAATATGGTAACTCTTACATTCTTCGCCTGAAAAATAGAGAACAAATGAAGTGAACAACCATGTTAGCTCATTTTAACTGTGTGATATACACCGGTGAATGGTCATTAGGGAAAACACAATTTTTGCACTCAGCTAAGAAACGTATTTCTTTCCATTCAACGACTTCATTTTCAAGCCAACTGTACAGTCGTAATTTTATTACGGATAGAAAAGGCATCAAATGGCACTAGAAATTGCTCAGGCAATATTGCACATGTGATGAAAAGAATAAAGATAATTAACAGGACGCACCAAGTGGCGACAGTTGAAGTGGATGGAGTGCAAAACTTTTAAAGAGTGAAAAATAAGTGAACTGGTATAAAGATTCTTAAAACTGTTTGGTCAAGTGATTTTTTTTGAACGAATTTAACAGTACGATGATGATAACAGTAAAGACGGTGAAGACGAAGTGAACTGGAATGAATTCAAGTGGTAAAATAGAATAAAATAAACAAGGAACATTACTAGGACCACGGTAAAGAAAGGGTTCATGTGTAGCTAGAGCTTTGGCTATGCATAAATGGAGAAAATGTGAGCTTTAGAAGTGGTTGGATTTGGTCTTTTAGACAACTTTAAAGGATAAATCAAGTGGGACTGAATGACCTGACACGAGAATGTGTTCGAAAATTGAAGACTTCATGGTCCTTTGCTCACTTTTCATTCACCAAATCGGGTAATGTTCGGCTATGCGTTTCAGCTTCACACGAACATGTGAATGAGTGAGTATATGCATATTGAAGTGGACATAAGCACTAGTTCATCCTTGACGTATTGTCGAATCACACATATTTCGTCTGGTAAATACTTAATGTAAGTCAGCTGCATAAAAACAGCGTTTAATATATTTAGATAAACGACTTTTAATTGGTTCAGCATTAGTGTCACTTTTGAACGCCAATCTCATGAGGATAATGTCAGCTTGAAATCGACTGTGGGTGTTTGGAATTCTACGTGAATTACTAACTACTGTAATACATAAGAATAAGGTGAAATACTGACAATTTTCGTAATCTCAGTAAAATTCACAGTTCACATCGTTATAATCCAGCTGCATACACCATCTGATCTTTTCTGAATAGAAAACTGCACTGCAGTACATAAAGATTTCGTGTGACTTAGCGTAATATACCTCTGGAATGTAGATACCTATAATAATTGCCGTCATGCAAATCACATCATTTGATGGTGGTTGGAGGCAGTCGACCACAGGAAGTCTTCGACTTAGGTTTCATGCTAGTTGCTACACATCAGTCAGTCAGCAAGGCATATGTGCAGCCTCTAAGGAACAACTCACATCCCTTCTGAGATTCGAAGCCACTTCGCCAAGTGCTGCAGTCACAGATGGAACCGCTGAGCTATCCGGGACTGTGATTGACCTCCTGCAGGGCTGTATTTGGATACTTTGATTGTACACTAGTCAGTAACTAGTGTGACGTATTTATCCCTTTGTTTAGTGCAGACTGACTGAATTCTATCAGTCAGCAGGAAACCTTGGCCCAAGGGTTCCTGATGATTGCCAACAACCATCTAATATCAACCTTCGCCTACCATGGCGAGTATAATTGACCTATTAAAATAAGATTGGTCATTAGTAGGTGCTATGTTATTCTGAAATCAGATCAGTTTGTTGAACTTTCTTGTTCCTGTCCACTTATTGCTTCTAGACGTTTAACATCACTGCTGACTGTAGGCAATTACTTCAAGAATATCACGGTAATTCATTGATGGACTAGGTTTTTACTCACCATATGCGTTACCTGAAATTCAATAGTTTGAAGACAAGTTTTTAAATATGTATATATTGTAGACGAGAATATCCGACCAAAGTTCCAAGAATTGTATAATTTTCTAGAAAAGAATTCACATTACTTTATCATTTGAAAGCTTTCTGTGCTCGAATTGGCTAGAAATTAACCCGATATTCACTGAACATTTATAGTTAGTTATATCTAGAGAATTTTTGTATTTCGTCATGCTTGTATTATACTACTTGAAGTCTCTCTGTGTATCTCTGTAAGACATAGCCAGTTGTTAATACTGCATCATCACCGTGTGATATTTAAAAATAAACGCATTTAATATGGAATTACACAGTGACACCACAGTGACAAAGTTCTAAACCTACACTAATGAAAATAAACATTTTCTGAGAGCTGCATCTCAATGACATAAAAAACAGTAAAACTCCATATCATCTGGATGACAGAACTGTGACTTCCAAGGTAATATTTCACGAGAAGTTTGGTTGAAATTTTGGTTAAAATTCCTTCAAACTGATGACCCATTCCACATGAATTATAATTAGACCGTTATGCGTCGGTGGCACAGCGGTTAGTATGCACGCCGACCATGCGCATGGTCCGAGGTTCAATCCCCGGCCTATGCAAACCCTATAACAAAGGTCGGCCTGGTAAATTTGAGCTACCGATATCACACGCTGTAAATCGCATACTTGTGTCAGAAATACTGTATGGAGACAAGCTATAATAAAAAAGATGACATTTCATGATAAAGTCCTAAAACCAGTCAAATCCGCGCAATCCAACACTTGAATATCAATCTACTGGTCACTAGTGACTGATCCTATTCAGGTAGGTAGTTACCTGAGTAATTGGGACCAGCGAAGTACAAGAGGTCGGTCGTGAGGACAAACGCTCGACGAGTATAATAGCTAGTGGTTTCACCATATCGTGAATTGGAAAAGTTGGAATTCATAACTCTCGAATCGGGTCCCAGTGGCTTAATGGTCTACGATCTAGTGGGCCTTATAACGAGAATGTCATGATTTTAAACCTCGATGGATGCGTAC